AGTTATTTAGGCTACCATTTAATTAATTAATTAATTAATTATTTTGAAGACCGAGTCTCTGTCTACTTCAGGCCAACCTTCAACTCACAATGTAGCCCAGGCTAGTCTCAAATTTATGGCGATCCTCCTGCCTCAGCCTTCCTAGTGCTGAGATTACAGGTGTGCACCACTACACCCTGTAGTGTAGACCACTACTGTGGAGACTAAAGTAATGACATAGGTGCATAGACAGAGCAGGTGCAGATTTTCCTGTCTCCCGTTTCCCAATGTCCTCTATCTTCCTCCTTCTCTCTGTGTTCCAGGCTTCTGAATTGTGCTTATGTGTTCAGTGCAGATGAAAGTATAAGTGTTGTGAAAGAAAAAGGGTTCTTCGAATGAGAGAGTAGTCCAACTCGGTGGGGGCTTGGTGACAGTGAATTCTGTCTCCACCTGGCATGTGGCTGGCTGGTACGCTTTTCCTTCTCCCAGTAAGAACTTTGTTCTTGACTCAGATTAGTTGACACGGTTTAAAAACACGAAAACAAAAAACAACTGGTAAGCACTACTAATGTGGTTCCTCCATGCTGGTTATTTTTCCTATTTATAGTGTCACCGTCCCCTCACCGAGTAGGAACAGATACTGTATTTACAAACCAGTGTGTAAAACATGCAGCTTTTAATGTTGCCTCCTTCTGTGTTGGTAAAAGAAAAATGCCATTAAAATGTGCATGTTTATGGTTATGTGCGTTATAGCTCTCTGAAGTGGGGCAGTTCTTTTTACTGGTTGCAGCTCTCTTGCAAGAACAAGCAGTTCGGGCCTGTAGTTTTCAGTCACTGGTGGGGTCGTGAACACAGAACGTTGAATAGTGACCCTCAGAAGCCCTGGTTCTAATCCCAGCACTGGTAAATACGACCTTATTTTGGGAAAAGGATTTTGCAGATGAACTTAAGGAAAGGATCTTACGATGTGATCACCCCAAATCCAGTGATTGGTCCTTAAAACGGAAACACACAGCTTCGGGGAGAAGGCCTCATTCACGCCAGCGCAGGCCAAGTGGCCCAGCTGCGTGTCCTGAGGCTCGGAGGACTGCAACCCTTAGGAGCCGGAGAGGCTGGAGCTGTCCGTCATCCCCGCACCCTGTGGAAGGAGCCAGTGCTGCCACTCATTCATTTCCGATTTCTGGCTCCATGACTCTGATGGAATAAATTTCTGCTGTTAAGCCATCACAGTGAACCTAGGAAATGAATACAGTAGTAGCGCCTTTTATTGGTGGCCACTGTCAATATTTTCGGGATACAGGGTGGAGAATCCTTCTTTAAGAAAGCATGGGCAGCAGGTTGCTGAGTTTCTTTTCCTACCCCTGAGTCTTAAACTCTTGAGCAAACACCCGTATCAGAGGACAGGTACACAGCTTTCAGAAACAGGAGACACAGTGATTAGCACTTTATTCATTGGGCAAATAATCAGGGTGGAGAAGGCAACCAGCAGGCTGTCTGCCAGGAGAGAGGAGAATGGCTGCTTCCTGTATTGTATGAGGGTCCCCAGGGGGCCATGACGTTAGTCCCTCTGGTACAGCTTTCCTTCAGGATGCCTGTGCATACGTTCACTCACTCACTCTTTCCATTCACGGGGTGCATCTCAAGTGTGTGACGTTAAGCTTGAGAAAGCAGCTGTATTTACAATCGTCTCCTGGCCCTGTGCATAGCTAATGAGGAGTGCTGGCACAGAACTAGTAGACAGTAAATAAAATACTTTGTATGTTATGGAGGAAACAAAAGAGTAAATAAATCCAATGAAAAGAGCCTTATGGGTCCTTTTGTATTGGGCTCTAAAAAAAGCAGATCAAGTAACTGCTGCTCATTTCTTGGTCTTGTCTTTCTGAACTGAAATAGCACAAGATTAGGGACCTCCTCTTGGTTCCTGCTGTTTTGTGTTTGTTTGGGCATTGCCAGGCAAACAGTAGGCACACAGAAGGCATTTGTCCATGACATTGGCTGGTGAGTAAGAAAGGGGAGCCTGTGCAAGATTGGGGGACCAAGAGGTATATATTTTTTTTCCTGCAGTGATGGGGAGTAACGGGAAGGCCTCACTCTGCTGGCAAGTGTCCTGCCACTGAGCTACATCCCCAGCCCTCTGAAGGTGTTTATCTGTGTTTTCGTTGCAGTTGGTTTTAAAATCACCTTTTCTCTTTCAGTTGACAGAATTTTGAGGGGAGAAAATGTTTTTTAAATTTTTAAATATTTTATTAGTGTATGTTTGCAGTACTTTTTTTTTTTTTTTTTTGAGACAGGTCTCACTATGTAATCCAGATTGGCATTGAACTTGCCATGATCCTCTTGTCTCAGCCTCCCAAGCGCTAGGATTATAGGTATGCCCCACTATGCCTGGTTTAGGAGAATTTTTTAGGTAGCGAAGCAGTGAAACCTCATGATGAAATGTAAGTCATAATGTTACTTCAGATGCTTGCCCTAGTAACCACCTTGGTTTACCTTAAATTCTAGGTACAACATTTGCCTTCTTATAGTAAGTAACTGTGATTTTAAAACTTACACAACATGGTAAGATTATCTTTTAGAACAGCAGTGAAGAGCCAGGGAATTCAGTTTCTTTAAATTCAGCAGTAGATTGCGTGTCTCCTCAGAACTGTAAGACGTTGGGTGGCTGAAAGCACAGATGTACGTTTTAAATTATCCCAAACATAATAATAACACCTTACCCTAAATTTGTAGGATGTTAAATTTTTTGTCTTTTATCTTTAGGTATTTATTTTAGGATCAGTAAGAAAATTTTATATAGAAGCAGTGGCCCTGGACGTTGGGTTCTAAGGTAGGGGAAGACTGCTGAGAGCAGGGAGGACGGTGGACCGCTACGGAGGGCTGTGCTTTCTGCCCAGTTCTCAGTGGCCCGGGAGACTGTAATTGTAATGGAAGCCAGGTAAAGGCTTGAAAATCTTCTGCTTTTTTAAGATAGGTTCTGAAACTAAGGTTAGTTTTTTGGGGGTAGTTTGTTTAATATTTTTGTTCTTTATTTTTCCTCCTTCTATGCAGTTTAAATGATTATTTAAAAATAAACTCAAGTAATAAAACAAAATAAAAATCAAATAGTCTAAAAGGAAAATCGGCAAAGGATAAAACTAGAAACTATAATAATAAATGAGTAGATTCAAAAGCCAAATAGAATTAAGAAAAATACCCACAGCCAGAAGCCAAATGAAGGCCTGTTTAATCTCTTTAGCCATCAAGGAACTGGGAATTAAAACAGAAAGGGCAGGTTTTGCATGTGGGCTAGAAAGGCAGTGAAGACAAAGGACATTGTTTCTGTGGACATAATTGTTCCAGCCTTTTCATGAGCAATTTGAAAAAAGCAGTTAGCCTTAAAAACGTGTTTTCCTCTGGCTTCTTCTCACTTCCTAGAATTCTCCCTTTGCCTCCCCCTTCCCCGCTCCTTTCCTTTCTTTCCCTTCCTCATGCTTGGCTGTGAACCCTAACCCTGGCTCTACCACTGAGCCACACTCGCCATCCTCTCCAAATCTGGAGAATATCTTAATGCAACCGGATTAAGTATGTATACAATTTTAACTGTAAAGATAATAAAATTAAGTGATATTTGAGGCAGCAAAGTACTGAACATCATCTAAATGACCAATAAGAGCAAAGTGAAGTTGTGTCATGTACTCTAACACAGGCGGACTTGGACTTTGATGGCAGTTTTAAGTGTCTTTCCATGGGAAGAGGCCAGTGGTGTGCCAAATAACAGCAGCAACAAAAAGCAATGTAGTGTAAGGACTTCCACATCTTTTGGAGAGAGGTGGACAGAGAGGAAGATAGGAGAAGCTAACACACAGTGTGTTTAAGGTGGTTCTTGATGGAGGAATGGCCTGGGGTTGCGTTGGAGTGTTCCTGGTCTGTGGCTTTTCCTATGGGAAAACACGTGTGTCTAGATTAAAGTGTGGGTGCTGTATCTCAGATGTAAGGATACACTGCTCTGGGTTCAGAGGATGCAGATGACCCGTTTTTCCAAGGTCAGCAATCATAGCAGCTCTAAGGAGTAGGGGTTTTATTGCAGTGCTGCCTGCTGTGCCAGAGAGCAGAGGTCACTGCAGGCTCCAGCTCTAGAAGAAGCAAAAAGTGAGTTGAGGTGGTGGCCCCTGCACCCTTCTGTGCTGTGACAGAAGAGCTGTTGGCCGGCTGCACGGTCAGATCTGAGAAGTGTGTAATGAGGGTTTCCAGATAAAACATTCTGTGCCAGCTTAAATTTGAGTTCTGATAATAGCCAATAGTTTTTTTTTTTTTTTTTTTTTTGGATAAGTATAATTCATATATTTGCTGACTTCAGTGAGCTTTCCCATAGCACCACACATTCTGGCTGTTGTGTCTGTGGAGAGTCTAAAGGGGGCGAGAAGGAATAGATGCACATATGTAAGAGGTACAACGGGCGTGCCGCGAGTGTCAGGAGTGAGGCCAGTGTGGTCAACTCAACTCTGTCTGTTTGGGTCCAAAAAGAAAACCTTGAAGTGTGGAGAGGAGCTCAGTGGTAGAGTTGGGGGTTAGCGTGTCCAAGGCCCTGGGTTGTATCCTCAGCATCCTACAAAATATATTTTTCCCTGTGGTCTCCCGCAGTTTCTTTACTGAAGTCCTGATGACACTCCCTGGCACAGGACTTGGGGGCAGAGAGAGACACGGGAAGACCGAGTGGGGAGGGAGGGAGGAAGAGAGGAACCCTACTGAGTCCTCTGACACTAGCAAAATTAAGTGGCAGGGCTCAGAAGGGGCGAACTTTAATAATTTTGTAAGAAACAGAACTAATAAGTCAGATAAGGAAATTGTTTCACTTGAACCTCCTGTCTTAGGGAACGTGCTTGTGTTCTCAGAGATTAAGTCATAACAAGAGTCTCAGTAAGCACAGGTCCTTGTCCCTCTGCCATCAGGACAGCTGGAGAAACAGACAGAGTTCACGTTTGCCTAAAGGGAAATACATGTCACAGAAAACCCCTTTAACACCTTTTCGTGTTGAATTGCAGCTGACTACAAGGAGAGCTTCAACACGATAGGAAACATCGAAGAGATTGCGTACAATGCTGTCTCCTTCACCTGGGACGTGAACGAGGAGGCCAAGGTGAGTGAGGACACTGCTGCAGTTGGCACATTCACCTCCCAAACAGCGCCCCTTCCTGTTCCCAGCAGAACGTTCTTTGTGCAAACCCGATGCAGGCTGCTTCCTGTGACTTGGCCTGGAGAAAAGCAAAGGAACCGATGTTTTCCAGCAGTCGTGCACATCCTTGGGAGTGAGGGAGGAGGGAGAGGGGGAGCAAAGCCACACATTCAGGTGTAGCCGCAAATTATTTTGGTCTTTTTTTTTTTTTTTTTTTTTTCGTTTTCGTTTTTTTTATCGGTACCAGGGATCGAACTCACGACTGCCTGCTTGCAAGGCAGGCGCTTATGCCGCTGAGTAAATCCCCAGCCCCATGTAGCCGCAAATTAGAACTTGGAGCTGCCAATCTGGGCCCTGGGGACCTTTTGGGCGGGACTCCTTGTGGCCTCCAGACACAGGGCCATGGCCTGGGTTGGCCGGAAGGGTGCAGGGAAGCAGGCACTGGGCTCTGGGCTTCCCTGATGAGGAGTAGCCAGTGCAAGGCCTTGAGCCACTTCTGCTGGCCACTTAACCTTTTCTGTTCCTCTGGGTACTGGCACAGGTAAGGGCAGGGGTCACTGCCGGGCACAAGAGCCACCCCACCCAGCTGATGCCACATTTGATCCCCAGCCCCATTCTCTGATTGTGTGAAAGCCCCCACTCTTTGGTTCTGCCCGAGTCCTTTAGCCTTGGTCTCCCCTCCTGGCTCTGCATAGAGGCAAACTTAGTTGTGAACCGCATGGGGTTGGGTGGCTGTCTTAACCCTGAGAAGATCAGTGGAGGTCCATTCCATCCAGCCCTCATTGTGTGTGGCAGGGCAGGCGGTGACAGAGGAAGCTGCCCGGGCTCCACAGACGCGGCTTCCAGCAGAGGGTGAATCGCTCAGTGTGTCATTTCACTTGAGCATAAAGCAACATCTATGAAATTGGCTTCAGGCCCAGTAGAGGTGACCCAGATGGGCACCCAGCACAAAGTGGCAGCACAGCCTGTGTGTCCCAGGGCTCAGGGACAGGCCTGCCACAGCTGTGAGAGCGGTCCCACCAGAGCTGCACGGACAGGGTGTGTGTGCTGAGGCCCCTGCACTCTCTCGGTTAGTGCACACCTCTCTGCTTTCCTGGCAGCTTTGTTGTGAGGTCATGGGCTGGGTGGCTGACAGGCAGTTTGTATGGTGGCCCTGCCAGGCTGCTAGGAGTCCTCAGTCATAGCACATCTTGGGTCAAGAGCAGACAGATGGACAGAGAGACATTTATTTAAAAGTCGCTACCACACCAAGCATCACACTGGGTGACGATGTATACTGGTCCCGTGTCCTAGGGAGGGAGGCAAGGGCACGACAACTGCTTGACAGCGGGTGTCACCTCAGAGTCCCTGGGGAGGAGATGGGATCCTGTCACCCCAGTGGCTTGTGGGATTCAGAGCTGGCTATCAGCATGCCCTCCTCATAGTTTCCAGCCTCATGCAGGGGTGGCAGTGAGGGCCGTGGGCCCATGTGTTCCACGCCATACTCAGTGGGGACCTCTTTGAGCAAGGCCCTCACCTGTCTGCCGAGAGTAGATGAGTTTTGGTCTCAGCAGACAAGTTTAAGCTCACACGCACCTCGACAGACAGCCTGGAGCACATCTTGTAACCCTTGCAGAGGACCAGCTTGCTTTCTTTGGTGTGTATTTTTAGTGACTACTACTTGGTTGTTGCAGTTGTATAAGGAATCAATAAGTAATAAAAAAAAAAGAGTTCCAAATAATTTTCTCCAAACTTTTGAAGGGCTCTTAAAGAAAAACCATAAAAGTTAAATCTCCTTAATTTAGGGAGGCTGAATTTTTTTAAATGTGCAAATCCAAGGCATTTCTTGAACATATTCATTTTGTAATAAGCATACTGAAAAAAAAAAACAGCATAGTGATTGAAAAAAGGATTTTTAGCAAAGCAAGAAATTTTGGTGTCTCTGTCACAGTTGTTTGTGGTTTTAATGCTACTGCTTTTGGGGACAGTTCAGTTGTTTCCAGTTTCCTACTGGGACCCAGTGTCCCTTTGTAGGCTTTAGGATTGGGGTCCCCTCAATGTCACATGATGTTTTGCTTGTGTGGGTAGAGGGCCCAGATTTCAGACTCTTAGCCTTTATACTTAGATTCAGATTTTAATGTTTTTGCCCCATTTAAGGATAAGGTGATTATTTTCCAGAAATTCAGTCTCAGGATTGTTTTAGACCTGAGTTTGTGCATGACAGGAGACCCTCTTGTGATCCTGGCTGCTTTCTGTCTTATTCTCTAGATTCTTGGTTCTGGAACTTGTCCTGGGTGGCTCTGGGGGACACTTGTGTTTTGATGCCATCTTTATAAGCCTCAGTGTGATCTCTCCACGTCAAGGAGGGGTAGCAATGTGAAGGCCAAGGTTCCGAGTCCCCACACGACCTGTCCTTACTCCCTGGCCCATCCTCAGGGTGCCACAAGGGTGGGCCCTGTACCCACTGTCCCAGGTATCCTTTGAAATTGCCCACAAAAGAATTAAATTTCGATCTTTGAAGTTGTTTTCAAAAACCCCAGAAGTCATTGGGGTTCAAAAGTAGTGAATATGTATCAGTCAGTTGGATAATGTCATTTGAAGGTTAAAAATTTAATTTGGTTTTTTCCACACAAGATTTTGTAAACCAGCTTTGAAGCAGGAAGTAACCAAAGAGTTATACAATTGCAGAGCCATTTGGAAAAACTATTTTTCCAAGATGACTTTGTTAAAAGGTAGCTTGTATTTGGATATTTACATTTACACATGCATGTGTGCACATTCACACATACACGCTTGTCCACTGTTTGGGAGTCTTGCCACGTGTGTGTAATCAAGACTTAATGACAGGAATTATAGACCGTTCCAGGGCACACTTGTGCCTGTTTCTTTTTTTGGCTGACTTGCATGTGATCTCTTTCTCCTTGTCAAAATGGAAGGAGAGGACACGAAACTAAATCATTTAGCTGAGTTTGATTATAGGAACAACACCTGGCCAGGAAAGATGTTAAACTTCTTAGTTACAGCAAGGTTTGGACCTCATTCTCAGACTTTCAGAGAGCCTGATTGTGGCAGAATGTTGCAGAGGTGTTCTGCACAGAACCGGTTTTGCTGGTTGCGCCACAGCTTTCTGCACTGTGACACAAGCAGCTAGAATCCTCAGAAGGGACTGCTTCCCCTCTGGGTGCACAGTCTGAGAACCGAGTACCATGGCTGGCGTCCCAGGCTCCGGACTCAGCCGGTAAGGCACTGAGTGTCCATTGTCACAGCCTGGGACATGGTAGGCTGGGCCTCAGAAGAACCATAGGCAGAGCCTGAAAGCAGCCTAAACTGGGAGCCTGCCCTGCTGATTCTGGCCCAGCCCCCTCTGAGCTCCCTTGCTCAGCTGTGAAATGGTGGGGGTAGGAGAGGAGGCCTGGAGATGACACAATGGGAGGGCATCTGTGACTCTTTCTCCCCTTGTTCCCATTTTGCTGCCTTTCTGTAGCCAAGTACTAGTACCTAATAAGTAGATGTAGAGGTCCCCAAGGTGAAGCCTTGCCATGCAAGACTCTGCAGAGCCACCAAAGAGCGGCAAACAGAAAGCTGGGACCTTTCCTGGGTGACATCAGCCCAAGGCAGCAGGGCAGCCAGCTCTAAGGACAAGCCTCCCTCTTGAGAGTCTCAGATGGGCCCCATGCTTTCATATGGTGCTGTTTCCTGTTATAGTGATTTCAAGATTCGCCCAAATTCTGGGTGCTGTAGCAGCGCTCCCATGGCACCCAGAGGAGGATGGCGGAGCATTACGATGCTATTTCCGGCTTCCTTTTGTGTCTGTATTGGGTGCGCCATGCAGTTCTCTCATTTGTGCACTTCCCCTGCATAGCTCACAGTTTTTTCCAGGAGTCTCGTCTTGATTGCGCTGCATCCAAGTGGTTTGGATTGACCTGGATTTGGTGCAGACATTCTCTTCCCTCATGACCACCACCACTATATAAATCACAGAGACAGCCACTACCAGCCCGTCGCCCTGAGGCTGTGAGTTTTAGAGAAACCTACTGTAAGTCAGCAATGTGAAGCTGTCTCTGCAGGTTTTCCTTTGCTGCTTCCTAGCCTAAAGGGTGGTGAGGTGGCCCAGCACCCCCTGCCAGGACACACTGGACATGGCCCAAGTCATGGAGACTACAAGTGACAGTGGCTGACTTGCTGCTTGCTGCTTGTTGTAGTGAGGTGCAGCCAGAGTTGCCACACAGAGTGCCCTGCCGTCCTCACTCCTCACCGCTGGGGCTGGCTCTTCTCCTCCCAGGCTGTCTTCTCACGGTGCATCTGGCACCCAGCCTCCTTTCTGCTCCAGGAGCTGCTGAAGGACAGGAAAGTGGCCTCTGTCCTCACTGCCACCATTTTATATTTGCCTAAGAGTTATAGGGACAGCAGTGCGCTGGGCATGGCCTATACAAAGAGAGCGGGTCAGAGTGAACATAGGTCTTCTAGCCTTTTGTGTAGACTGCAAACTGTTCAGTCTCTTCAGATGAAAAATAAGATCATGCTAATTAAAATGCTGGCTTGAAATTCAGTACCAAATCATGTGAACCCATTGTGTTGTCACAAATTTGCTATTTCTTTCCCTCCCTCCTTTTCTCTTTCTGTCTGTCCGACTCTTCAGACATTTCTTTTTGCTCTAAAATATTCAGTCAGCCTTTTTATTCGGACATGTTTGTGATCCACAGTGATGCCATTCAGGCAGTTGGCACCTGTACAGGACGCATCGTCTTGCCCGCACCACCTCTCCATCTCTCAGTCTGCTTCCCATTCTAAAGATCTGGTCCTCTGTTTGTCTACTTATTATTGTTTAACTCATTTTTATTGGACCCCCACCCTGTGCCAGACATAGGGTTTTTAGATGGATCGTGCATGCCAAGGGGCCATTCCTAAATGCATGCCACTCTTCCTCTGGGACCCCATTGCTGTGGGACCCCATTGCTGCCTCTCCCTTGGCAGAAGGGAAGATG